CCCCCCCCCCCAACGACAACCCTCCCCCCCCTTGCCACCACCCTCCCAAACTATATCAATACTAAAAATCACAACAAACAAACAGTTACATAAAAAAACCAATAACAAAAAATAAAACAAAAAACAAACAAAAACAACGGCGCAAGCAAGCAAACAAACAAACAATCGGGTGAACCTGTATCGGTGATGATAAAACTAAATGTTGCTGATTGGGAATTACGACAGTGTTATTGGCACTGTTGCCCAAACTAGAAATTAATTATTCCGTCCTCAGCACGCGAAATTTGGTGCAATATACGTCTTTGATTAAGTGACATATTATTATAACAGCCCTGCAGAATTAAGATTTTCTTGTGCGTAGAAAGTCTCTTGTGTCATTTTAAGTTGATTTTCCAATTAAATTTTAATACTTTTCATTTTATAGGCGTCTCCAAAACAGATCAATGATCCGCCAACTTCCGGATTACTAAGATAGTAAAAATAACTTTCGGGAACTCTGGTTGGCTTACCGTTATCAGCGCTATTTGTAAACATTCGTCAGGCTGCCGACCATCACTGGGTCAACCCAACTGAGCGATGTTGGGCCAAGATCGAGAATATTCCTTTGCGGTTAACCACCCTCAAAATAAAAGAACACACGTAGACTTTAAAATCCCAACTTATCTATATCTGCGGGCTGTATTATATTTCCATTCCAGCCTTCATGCTTCCCCAGACACGGAGATCTGAGTACGGTAGCATGCATTACTTAGCATTGTAGAGGAATACGTAACATTTTATTAGAATTTACACAGTGCTTTCATTGGAAAGATTGGAAACTGTGAGGATGGTTTTATAGCTTTGGCTTGGATATGATGCTGATTTTGTGAAAATGAGGGGAAAAAAGTCAAATCCACGTAATAGGTATGTTAAAATGTTCAAGCCTATAAAATTGAGTGTGAGTAGCGTTGTTAATGGGCCTATAAATCAGATATTACATTATGATAATGCGTAGATTGTCCATCGATATTGCTGTGTCCAGTTTCTTCTTTTTTGTTTGTTTGTTTGTTTATTCGTGCCCCACCCCCTCATCCTTCGTCTCCCCCCTCTCTCCCCCCTC